GCCTCGAGCCGCAGGATACGTTTGCCCATAAACCCCCGAAACTTGTCTGCGGATGATAAAATGTTTTCATTCCTGCCCTGAAGCTTGGCGTTGAGATGCCCAAATATGTCTGCGAGGTAAGCCAGCCTGGCACACCACCTCTCATCCGCGAGCTTGTCTTTATGTGGGACAACTTTCCCCCGTGACAGCCAACGTACCTCTGTGTGCAGGATCAGGCTTTGGTGGTCGGCTCCCATCTCGGCGCACAGCTGGGAGAAGAGGCGAGTTTTCAGGGGCCTTGATTTGATGTAATTCACCATCTGCACAGCCGGATTCAGCACCTCAGTCGACTCCGGCGGGGGCATGGTTTTGGCAACTAATGCCTCTCGATGCAAAATCCAGTGGTTTGTCACGATATGTGGGTTTTGTGTTCTCACCTTTAGCAATAAATCCTTTCACTCTCCCCGTCATTCTTGCCGCACCATCTGTGCAAAGACTGACGCCAGGTCAGACTGTTCTCTTTTAAATAGTTATTAGTTACCCTGAATATTTCTTGTCCCGTAGTATGGCTTTCAATTTCTTTGCCGAAGAAAAAGGCCTCTTTGAGTCAGCATCAACATATCTGACGTTTGCCAGAAGTTGGGCAGCCCCACTTATGTCAGTAGATTCGTCTATTTGTAGGGAAAATCTGCCGCTCGCCTGCAGTTTCTCTGCCAAATGTTGCTCAATGTCTTCTGACATGTCGTCGATTCTTCTTTTGATTGTATTATCAGACGACGGCACTTTCGATAGCTCATTTGCGGCATCTGGACCCAGCATGACACCTGTAAGTATTTTGCAAGCAGGGAGGATGAGTGTCTCCGCTATTGTGTGAGGCTTCTTCTGCTTTGCAATGAGCTCCGCTAGCATGTAACTCGCCTCCATTGCCTTATCAGACACTTTCACAGAATCCAACAAACGTCCTTGCTGCCTCTGGTTCAGATCCCGCGCTCTTCTGAAGTAGTCCAAGTTACTGTGAACATGGGCGGGATGTTTGGTTTCCAAGTGCCTCTTCAGCTTGCTTGGAACCATGTTAGCATTAGCTAACTTCTCCCGACAGACGACGCACTCGGGCTGAGGATTGTTCACATCCCCGGTCCAAATGAAGCAATAAGACAGATAACTGTCATGGTACTGTCTGCTGACAGTTTTTTTCCTCTTCTCTTTCGGTGGTGGGTTGTCGGCAGTCTCTGCCCTGGTGGTTGCTGGTTTGCTCCGCACAAGAAAGCGCTCCATTTTCCCGCTTGCTTGTTTCTCAGTTTTAATATTGTCCTTCAGCCTTTGATGTGTCACAGTCTTATAAATCCCACCTGCGCAACTGCGTTAACAGCGGAATACGGGGTTCTGTGAGGATTATTTTTTAAATAATCGTTTTTAGGTATAGAGTTTGCCTCTGTATTATGAAATGAGTGCATACAAAGTACTGATATAGTAAATTAAAAAAGAATTATTTTTGTGTCGTTGTATATTGCAATAATAACGTATGGTTGTCACAAAATCCCACGGCACACCCGGACTTGCCTCACGGCACACCGTTTGGGAACCACTGCTCTAAGGTACATTTAGAACAGATACAAAATGTGTGATTAATATAGATATCCATGTTGACCCCAAGATGTGTAAATTCATTTTTTATTGATACTAGGTTTCTGTCCATTCTTCCAAATATGGATTTGGATTAGAAGTGATCATGCAGATGACGACACATTTTCCATCTGCAAAATTGTTCTGTCTTCATCTGAAGTGTTAGATATGCAGAGCGTTGACTCTTCAATGTTACTGCGTCCCAATCAGGTTTCTACTTTCCATGGAATGCTCAGACAGGAGAAATATTCGAACTGCACATAGACTCAAGAATACATTTGAGCCCTTCCACGAACATCTCAGCGTTTTTCTCCACGAGGCTTTCACACTTAAGACAGTCTGGATCTGGATCTGGACTCTGTGAAGAGAAAGAAACAAACAGAGATATCGGTCAAAGTGTTCATGGTGACACAAACACGACCTGAATACCAGTAAGAGCAACGGTTTTTTATAACAATTGTTATTAATGTTCTGCGTCCTGCATGTGTTGGAGCTGATGTTCGACTGTGTGCAGATGATCCAGCAACGTGTGTACAGTAAGAGACAGAAAAGGGAAAAAGCTGATCTGTAACCCATAGTCATTTAGCTCAATCTCAAAAAGTGGGTTATGAACTCTTTACTCCTTTATTAGTCATTTGTTTTTCTATTAAGCGAGAAGCAACAAGTGTTTTCCAACTTGAAATCGATTGGTGTCTTCATCAACTCAACCATCGACTTCAAGCTGCTAGAAATGCCTCATTACGTTTCACAGTATTGTTGTCTCAAGGATCACAGTTTGAAATGTGCCCACATTCGAAGTCATGCTCAATACAAAGATGCATCTTTTAAATAAGTCAATGCTTTGTTTCGCTGTCGTTAGAATACGACGACAGATGGAGAACAGGCGGCTCGTTCTGATCCTCAAACTCCATTGAATTAGTTCTCAGTGTTTATATGGATTTGTTACTTATCTTCTTATTGCCTTGGCTAAGCTCGTTAACACGCAGCTTTCCCACACACAGGCACTTGGCAGGTGAGTGTGTGTGTAGCAATAAATACCTGAATGATAATGATATGTGCCTCCAGGGGGAAAAGACTCACTTTTCATTTCTGATTTAAACAAACAAAGCATTGTTTTCATTTCTGCTCTCTGTTCAAGCTTGCAATAAATTAGTTGGGCGGGGGTTATGATCAGCATTTTAAATGTTTCCCCCAACAGATGTCAGGAGGCCATATTTTTGAGTTGTCAGATCTCCACCATACCCCGCCTCTTTCTGTGAGCGTAACAAATACTGTGTCTACGTTGTTGATCTAATACATCCCTTCGTGCTCTGTTCACGCCTGGTTGCGTTCTGTCCAAACACATAAATCTTTATCCAGGAAAAAAAGCCTCATGGTGAGTCAAGCTTCTTTTAATTTCTGCTCATCAATATCTTTGTTTGGGCTTGCTTAGACTGCAATGACTTTATTCCTACAGCAGGTATCAGGATGGTACAGTTTTGTTGTAATACTCCACTATACACCTGACAAAATGTACTGCGATTTTCAAAAATATTCATCTCGAAACACGGCTTCTGTGCTATCACCAGAACTGACCTTTAGCGTAATTGGCTAGCTAGTTAGCAGCGTTATCGTTCACGGTACCAAATTATTATACTCTGCTGAATGAACCCAGTAGAGTTAATGGTAGCTTCTTTACCACACCACTGTAGAGGTTAGAGTGTTAAATAATAATTAAAAAAACCTCACATGTATAACTTTTAGTTCTATAGTGCTGTAAAGTGATCGCGGCTGTTCCCGCCACTTCCGTTTCGTGGGAAATATGCTTAGAATTGAGGCTGGCAAGTGTCCAGGACTCTTAATTTTGGACCGTTTATGTTGGCACCATCTAGTACTGATTGTGCATTTCGCCATACTCGGCACTGGAGAGCACTTATGTACTCAAAACACAAATTGAGACACAGTGCTACGAGCTAAAGGCTAACGTTTGCTAAGCTTGTTTCTCTGATGACTTAAGATCCAAATGTTGAGAATGTTTCTACTGGGAAAGTAAAACCCGCAAAGGTCTCTTAACGTCCCAAAAAATTAAAAACATTGATTAAAAGCAATAAAGAAACTGAATTAAATGGTTTCATGTTAAAAATCTGTGTTTCCATAGTGGAATCTGCACAAAATGGCTTTTTACAACCAAATGATCAACAGATATCTTTGTGTCTCCAAAACAAATGGACAATATGAATAAAGCTGATATAGACTGGTACAAACGCTCATCTTGTTTCTCTGATAATTTGAGATCCAGACGTCCTGTGACTAAAATCCTTTCAATATGTGTACTTAAGACTGTAGTGAAGTCTCCTCTCTTTCTCCCTACTTACTATTTCATAAAATAAATCCTCTATATTTCCGACTATCTCTTCTTTGTGTTTGCTGATGTCGGAGAGATCGGCCACTTCCGACTCCAAGAACAGGACTTTCGTTTCGGCAACCAAACATTTCATGGTCGACTGGGAGCAGTTCTGCAGGACGGAGAGAGAAACCAGTAAGATACCAACAAGCTCTTTTCTTTTTTCAACAATATTTGTGTTGAAGTTTTCAAATATAACGAACATTACATGTACATAAAACGGTCAGTCTAGGTGGCAGATACAATCAAATGAATAGGCATGTAAATAAACAGGTCAGTATACAGATGATACATGGATAACAGAGTACATAAATCTGTAGAGACACTACATACTGATATACACCTGAACATCAGCAGGAGAGGACTCTTTAAAGTAGAGACACTACATACTGATATACACCTGAACATCAGCAGGAGAGGACTCTTTAAAGTAGAGACACTACATACTGATATACACCTGAACATCAGCAGGAGAGGACTCTTTAAAGTAGAGACACTACATACTGATATACACCTGAACATCAGCAGGAGAGGACTCTTTAAAGTAGAGACACTACATACTGATATACACCTAGAACATCAGCAGGAGAGGACTCTTTAAAGTAGAGACACTACATACTGATATACACCTGAACATCAGCAGGAGAGGACTCTTTAAAGTAGAGACACTACATACTGATATACACCTGAACATCAGCAGGAGAGGACTCTTTAAAGTAGAGACACTACATACTGATATACACCTGAACATCAGCAGGAGAGGACTCTTTAAAGTAGAGACACTACATACTGATATACACCTGAACATCAGCAGGAGAGGACTCTTTAAAGTAGTGACAGTGAGTAATGTTCCTGCCATGAATTAGATAATGTGTGGATTATTTTTTAGAGAATCTTAATTCCTGTGTTCCAGTAATAACTTTGGACCAAATCTCTGAAATCTCTGCTGATGCAGTCTCTCATTTATTGTTTAAAACCATGCTTTTGTTTATATTAGTAGCAAACTGACTTCACAGATGTAGAACTGGTGGAGGATCAGAAGTTATTATGCTACTACTTCCTGTTGACAGCTCAATACATGTGGGCCATCTGGAGTTAAAGAGTAAGAGGCAATAAAAGTGAACTCTGGCCACACGGCATGGTCACCTTTTTGTGAATTACATAACAATGAATTTGCTGAAACAAACATTTACATAAAGCCAAATGTATTTTAGGCAAGGCAAGTTTATTCATATAGCACCTTTCAGCAAGACAATTGAAAGTGCTTTTAGTGATTTTAAGTTTATTACGTTTATATTGGAAAGATTTGTTGATGTAATTTAAGCAGCCGAGGACTTTTGTGAAAGCATCAGATCTCAAATGATAATAACAAGTATTTCAGGTGTCAGAGTGAAGAAGAAGAAGAAGAAGAAGAAGAAGAAGAAGTAGTTCATACCTTGAAGTGATTGATGGTGGGTGTGTACAGTTTGCACTCCAACTCCTTCTAAGAAAAAGATAACATTCCTATTACACATTGTATGGTAATATGCATGCCAGATATCTGTCCTGGCAACAACATGACATTGTGTGTTTTGTAATGTTTGTTATCGCCCTCACAACAAGTTGTTTGTCTTAACGGACATTTGATTAAACAGGTTTTTCTCCTTCTACAGTAAAGCGAGTTATACTCTATATTGTAAAGTAACATGTGGTTAAAGTACTTAAAGTTTAAGTATCTCTTGTAGTAAAATGTACTTCAAGCTAAAGTATCTCTTGAGCAGTAAAATGTAGTTTAAAGTTAAAGTATCCATAGTAGAGTAACATGTGGTTAAAGTACTTAAAGTTTAAGTATCTGTTGTACAGTAACATGTGGTTAAAGTACTTAAAGTTTAAGTATCTATAGTACAGTAACATGTGGTTAAAGCACTTAAAGTTTAAGTATCTATAGTACAGTAACATGTGGTTAAAGTACTTAAAGTTTAAGTATCTATAGTACAGTAACATGTGGTTAAAGTACTTAAAGTTTAAGTATCTATAGTGCATTAACATGTGGTTAAAGCACAC